CGCATTCTACTGGCTGCCGAGCGCAGCGAAGGCGGCGTCGATTCGCTAAAAAGCTGCCGAGCGCAGCGAAGGCGGCCCCCATTGGCTAAAACAGGCATTGTGTTTTGTACATACTGTATGTGGTCTACACATCGTACTTAAAAGCACCGTTCAAATTTCATTTTGCCCTCATTTCTAGCTGCGGAGCGCCACGACACGCATAGGGCGCTGCCTGTGTACGCGTTAATTAGCATTAGTGGAAGGCGCCGATGAGCACACACGTACTTTATCGTTGTAGGATCTGTTGAAAAGAATTGTAGGCCCTGGGGACCTATAACTTGGCTTCAATTGGAATTTTAGTACTTAATGGGTATAATATGATTTTTTTTAGCTTCGTAGTACTTCTGTAATAATTTAGCTTACAATAGTATGATTTGTATTACTATTATAAAGCTCTTTCATATTTGTACTTGCAGTTATTTGTAGTAGTAGTACACATAATAATTATATCAGCGTTTGATAATAAATAGCAAGTGTATTACTATTAATATTAATGTGAAAGCTTTAAAATATGACTATTGTGGCTTACACCCTGCAACCCACACTGCCCCCGGAAAAACGTATCATCTTCCTTTGTATTTGCGCGCGTAGTGTGCGACCTTAAGATATTATGTGAACTTTCCAACAATATACGCTGTGTACATCAAACAAAATGGGAACAGCTATTGTGATTCAGCTAGCGCGGAGGCACATGTCTAAGCAAGGACACGAAACACGAAGGGATACCGACCTACACTATGTACGCGATGGGATAAAAGAGCAACACGAAGCACGGAAGGCCATGGACGATGATAGAAAACTTAGCCGATGCAAACCACGAAGTTTTATAAGTAGCGTGAAAGACGGAAAAGCACGCAGCAATGAAAAGGACAGAAGGACAAGAATATAAAGGGAGCGCACGGGCCACGGAAGGGAACTAAATATATAGTCACCCCAGCATGCTGAAAAGCACGGCTACGGAAGAGCACGCACGTTCGAAGCCACGGTAGAGCACGTAGCGGTAAGAGTGCACGGACAGCAATCCTCCCATAGCACCACTGTAGAACACGGAGCACAGTCGACCGACCAAACATGAAGCCGCGGTATACCATAAACAAAAGATCATCCGAGCATTGGAGCACAATATTAAGGTAGAATCGGAGCTCACCGACTTCCAGAGCATGATACTACGGAAGCTAAGGATCGCACAGACGACCGACCAGCCGCGACACCACAAAGATAACACGATAGCATGGAAGGTGCCGCTAAACCATGGGAGAGCTCAGTCGCCGATCTATAGTCGGGAAATCACCAAGCCGTGGAGAGCGATACCAGTGTAGAACCTGAGCTCCCTAAGCCACGGAGGACGATACTACATTCGAACCTGACTGCACAGACGGCAGACCAGCCACGATATTACAAAGAACACGCTAGCATGGACAGTAGTTCAACCACTTAACCATGGAAAGCCAAGCAACCATGGGAGCTATTGACCGAAGACCATCAAGCCACGGAACACCATACCAGTGTAGAACCTGAGCTTACCGAGCCACGAAGGACAGTAGTACATGAGAACACGATTGCACGGACGGTGGACCAGCCACGAAATAAACGAGGGGGCTCTTAGGGCGACCACGATTCCACATTGTGGAGTACGATGCCATTGTAGAACACGATAACATGGACAACGCAGATACACAACGCTAGCACAATACCATGGACAGCATAACCACACCGCATTTGCACGATAGCGTGATACCGCGGTCGATGACACTTCATCAGGAGATCACGATGCACGGGCGACGGAACCACACGACTGCATGGAGGCACCAAAGCACGAAATAGCACCCTTTGGTTAGAGTACTGGCGATGGGAGGCCAACGGCCACGAATGCCTATGTATCACGAAAGCGGTACAGCCCGCGTAAACGTTTGAGAACAGGGAATAGTTAGGAGCCACGAAAGAGGCTGTACTAAAGTGCATAAGCTCAAAAGAGAGCGCATATCCACAAACAGCGTGGACCACGGGGGAACAGAGAACCACGAAGCCAAGAAGATCACGGAAGAGCGCCGGCCACTGTAGAACATGACATCCAACCTGTAGTACGGGGTAACGGAAGCGTACCAAACAACGATATTATACGGGGCCGGATGAGACTCGGAAAGGTAAGTCGTTAAGTACACGAAGCCAAGACCTACTGGGGTGAACGACGCTCACAATACACGCGACACCACGAAGCACCTTAAACTGAATACCACAGCTCCAACAAACCATGCCACTCCGCCGCGTAGCGGCGGCGAACGGCTAGTCCTAAAGTATCAAGGCTAGCACGGTGTCCGTCCGTCCGTCACACGAAACGCTCAGATTTTTGAGCTTTATCATTGGCTGTCGAGCGGAGCGAAGGCGGCTGTAATTGGTTAAAACTAAATTATGTAGCTTACATCAGGAAATTCATGGGGTTCACAGAGCACATATGGAGATTTGCACCAGGCTATCCATTATCCGATGGCGGCATCGTTTAAATACTACGAAGTTTTAATTTGTACTATTTTAATATGGAATGTTGCTATTTTAGTATTTGAGTGCTACTTATTCTCAAGTGAAATAGCCCCTAAAGACGCTTCCTATGCTGCAAGGTGCTTAACGTACACGTGTGTTTTCGAGGCCATACTATTAATACACAAAACATTATGTTCTTTTTAGTTTCTGCAAGAAGCAATGAGTAAAAGAATAACTACAACTGTTTTGTTGTAAAAATATTAAAGAACATTTCTGAATGTGAGGTAGCTGCCACATGTACAACAGAAGCTGGCCGTAAGAGCAACGCTGTGCTAATAAACGTTGTCGCTTGAGCCACACATATAGATAGGTTTAGATTGAGCAAAAATACTAATATGTGCTGATGACAATTACTACTGTAAGAGATATCCGATAAGGTATCCGAAGGCGGCATCGTTTTTATATTACGAAGTATTTACTTTTTTAATAATGCATGTTGCTTTTAATATTTGAGTGCTAAACAGAGAGGGCTACTGATTCTCAAATGAAATAGCCCCTAAAGACGCTTCCTATGCTGCAAGGTGCTTAGCGTACACGTAGGAATGCGTGTTTTCGAGGCCATACTATAATATGCGTAATACTATGCTCTTAATAGTTTCTGCAAGTTACTAAAATAATAGCTACAACTGTTTTGTTGTAGAAATATTAAGAACATATCTGAGTGCGAGGTAACTGATTGAGCTGCCAAATAGCAGTACACGTACAACAGAAGCTGGTCGTAAGAACAACACTGTGCCAATAAACGTTGTCACCTGAACCATAAAGATAAATAGTTTTAGATTGAATAGAATGAACTCATATGTGTTACTGCTGTAACCATTGTTTTCTAAGAGACTGTAAGCCATTGTTTTCTAAGAGTTGTTAGGCAGCAAAATCCGATACTACTTAACTGGCGGACGTGTCGCCGACAGAGGCGTAGGTTACGATTTTAAATGGAGCGGCAACACACCAGCAAAACACGAGAGGTGTTAATTATAGTTGGCTAAGTAGACCCCATAAAGAAACGTTAATAAACTTGGAGCCTAAATGACGTCCAATAATCCTGGAATCATCGTTAAACTATCAAACTGACTGAAAGCACTACTGTACCGTCAACAACAACAACAGCAAGGCGTCTTGCGACACATTATCCAAATGCTTTACATGTTAATCATAACTGGTACAGAATCGAGTGTCTATTGACTAATTCTGAATCAGCACAAAATGAACGCTGCATCCATAAAAAATATTACAATTTAAATATTTTTTAGCTTTCATTGAGTTGTGTGTGAAGCAAGCTCAAATAGGCAGTACAAGCGGATAAGTAGTGCAAGCTGGACAGACCATTTCTATCATGTGAGCTAAGTTTCATAGCGGCTCAGAAATGGTCCGTGATATCGAGCACGACGCTAAACTAAACATATTGTGAAGCATTTGTATAAATGTTATTTGAAGCGCAGGTGGTTTTGGGTGGAAGATGAAGATACAGTGATAGCCAGCAATAAAAAAGAGATTGCATCGAGAATCTTGATTCAAGATCATTAGAATAAAAATTTCTTAAATCCGATAAGCACAATGCTGACCCAAATAAATGACATTAAAAAAACCGATTTAGATACACATAAGCTCAGCGTTTTTTCAATAGTTATCCCGCCGAAGCGTAGTGGAGGCGGAAAGGCCAAAGCAAGTACACTGTAGAACTAAACCTAAATTACCGCCGCGTAGCGGCGGCGCTCGGCTAGTACTCAAGAAAGGCATTCCCGTCATGATGATGAGAAATCTAAACCCGGATTTGGGGCTTTGTAACGGTACGCGCCTGAGGATCGTTGATTTAAAGCCACACGTCATTCACGCAACAATCATGACGGGGGAGCGGCGGGGTCAGCATGTTCTAATTCCGCGGATTATTTTTGTCAGCGACGATGATACTCGAGAGTTTCCGTTTCGCCTACGTCGAAAGCAGTTCCCTGTACAGCCAGCGTTTGCAATGACTATCAACAAGGCCCAAGGTCAAACCCTTATGAATCTAGGGCTATATCTTGCTACACCGTGTTTCTCACATGGCCAGCTGTACGTCGCCCTATCAAGGGTTACATCACGCTCGAATTTTCGAGCCCTCATTGAATATCCGGAACAGGAGGAGGAAGATGGAGTCTACACAAGCAATATCGTTTTCCGACAAATTTTTGACATGTAAGCACATTTTTTTACATTTTACTTCGTTACATCATTAAAACAATTTAATTTAAAAAGTAAAACATGAGGCACCGGATTGGGAGCGAATTATAAAGTATCGCTGCTATTTTCGATTTAGAAATAATTGTTTGTCCCACCCCTACTCCCCACCCCGCCGGAGCGAAGCGGAGGCGGAAAAAAAATAAAGGGTGATTTAACAAAAACTACCGGCGGCGCTCGGCTAGTCACACTTTAGCAGTTTCACCAACTCACAGTGTAACGAATTATGCAGACTGACGATATGGACCCGTTACTTGGTAGGCGGCCAACATCATGTTCCACTTTTCAGGTTGATGCTAGGTGTTACTTGTGCTTGATAGAAACATCTTTGTCGTGTAGGCTGCCTAAATCATCATCGCCTCGTCTGAGATGAGCTCCTCCGCAGGCGAGTCGTCAGCCGTCTCCGATTCATCGTTGTTGTCAAAGACGAGGTCGGACAGCGAGCTACTGAGCTTTTTGTATGCTTCGTGAAACTTAAGGCACTCGCCGCTTGTACGCCGGAACTCCACCACACAGAGCCCTGGGACCTAAACAGCAACAATTACAATACAACCATCTCACGTCAGCAAAATCCCATTCACTCTCAAGTCGGCAGCCAAACACAGACACGTAGCAAGCAAGCACCAGAGGCAAGGCAACAACAGCAGTTTTGGTGCTGCTAGTACGGCCACTTCAGCTGCCGCCTTTCGACTCCGCAAGAACTCCTTACATTGTCTAGTGAGTAGATGCGCACAGCGAAGCCCACGTCCCCCACGTCTGCAGCCATCGTGGCCTTTGTTTTAAACCGGTCCTTGTGCGCCACAAAGCGCGCCGAGTGTTCCGCCAACGCCTTCTCCACCCGCGTCTGCAACTCTGGAGCCGTCCGACTTGACTGAAAGCTTGTGTAAAGCGCCACACTGGTGGACGGATACGATGGCGCCTTCTTTGAACTTACCTCTGCAGTCGCAGATTCTGTGGTCGTCGGAACGACCATCGATCGCTCAACGTCCATGTTGAAAGGGTCGAATTCTTCATCCTGCTTCTGTAGCCGCTGCTTGGAGGCCGCAAGCAGCTTCTCCTCACGCTCTTTACGCTTCTCCTCATCCACTTGCAGCTTGCGACTCATCAGCTCTGCACGAAGATCCTCGGGCGCTACAGCCCTTTCCTTAAACCACGGGTGTGTCTTGATCTCTGCAAGAGTAACACGTTCCTGCGGCTTCACGTGGAAGATGCGCGTCATGAGCGACATAGCGCCCGGTGAGAACGTGGCAGAGCGAGCGTGTGCCGCCCAAAAAGCTTCGTGTTGCTTAGCAGCACAAGCACGGAACCACCAGTCCTGGTTGGTGGCAATCTGGAACGGTGGGAAGCCCGCCAGCATAATAAAAAGTACCACGCCAGCCGACCAGACGTCTGCAGGTTCTCCTTCATACGACAGACACGATAGCACTTCTGGGCTCATGTATCCTCTGGTGCCGCATTGCGTGTATAGCTCAGCCACAGCTCCATCGGCTCCTTCTCTCAGACCGGAGAGCCCAAAGTCAGCGATTTTTAGCGCAAAGTTCTCGTCTAACAGGAGATTTTCTGGTTTGATGTCGCGGTGGTATACCCCCTGTGCGTGACAAGCCTCCAGACCGGCTACGAGCTGCTGGAAATAGGCGCGCGCGATGTTCTCCGCGAAGCAGCCAGTGTACATCATGAAGTCGAAGAGTTCTCCACCTGTGGCCAACTCCAGCACAATGACAATCACTTGCTTGCTCTTGCCGTCCTTCTTAGGGTACGACGCGTCGTCGTGAACAGATAGGAGGCGCAGCACATTCGTGTGGGAAACACGAGACATGGCTTCCACCTCGCGGTAGACGTTGATCATGCTCTTTCGGTTGAGCTTAGCCATATCGACAATCTTAAGCGCTACGCGCTGGTGTGTGGCAGTATCCACGCCGAGCTTCACCTTGCCCTGCAGGCCCGAGCCGAGCGTATGGAGCACCTGGTACTGCGCCAGCATTCGCGGCTGCTGCTGCGACGAGGTGTTGGCATTGGCGGATTGTTGTCGTTGTTGCTCCGGGTACTGTGCGGTGTCCATGCTGGCAACTGGTGCCGCGGAGAATAGCACGGATGTCATAGCCAGCACTAAACCGAGGTTGTTCTCTTCCACGCAGGATGCAGACTGGATCAACCCACACGTCAAGGTCAAGGTGATCTGCGCCGCAGATATTGGTTGAAAATAGCAAAGCCGGATTCAGGAATGACGGTAAATTTCAGCCCCCAATCAAAAGCAAAGACATTTGGTTGAAATATAAGTACAGTCTGTGCCTCATTACAATAAAAGCTTCCGTCACAAACAAGGTGCAACACAAGGGACAAACGATGGCGAAGGTGGCGAGCGTTGTTCACGCCGATGATGATGTTGCAGCCGAGATAGATCAGCAGATCGAGGCATCGGTGCTGCGCACTGCAGAGATGTTCGCACTGACCAAGCGCAGCGCCGCGTCGGCCTACGACTACGCGCCCAGGTACGGCCATATCCCAGCGAATCGATGGATGGATGCTTTGTTATCTAACTGTAATCTTTCACCGTAACTAGCAAAAAAGTGCGTGTACGTACCAAACTGAACGACACGTACCTTTTCGAATTTCCCAGCGCGCTGCTGGAGTTCAAGGCCGTGGCTGAAGCCGTAGACTCGACACCACCGCCCATCGCCGCCGCTACTCGCATTGCTCCTGGCCCTGCCCCAGCAGCTCAAGCTGATGTGGTCATGGGAGGCCACCCATTACCGTCGGTGCCTGATGTTTCAACTGCAATTGAGGACACTACTGCAGCAGAGAAGCCTTCGTTCGTGGATCAAGTGGCGAAAGAGGCTGAGGAAGAGCTGGCACTTAAGAAGAGGAAGCTGTACGTTCGGTAGATTCCGTTATAGTTGCCTGCGTTGGCTGATATGATCGGTATTGTCTATGAAATGGCGGTAGTGTGGCGTCAAACGTCGACAGAGAGGCCTCCTCGGCGGTTGTAGAGTACAAGAAGCAAACAGCGACAGCGGCTCAGTTCGGATCGAGCGTCATTGTCCGTCGTCGTGCAACACAGGTGCCCAAACCCAAGTGGCACGCTCCGTGGAAGCTCAAACGCGTGATTGCTGGACACCTTGGATGGGTGCGCTCGATCTCCGTGGACCCTACCAATGACTGGTTTGTTACGGGCTCGGCTGATCGAACTATCAAGGTTTGGGACTTGGCCTCGGGGCAGCTGAAGCTCACGCTTACAGGTCACATCAACGCTATCCGTGGATTAGAGGTGAGCCCACGTCATCCATACCTCTTCTCTGCTGGAGAAGACAAAAAGGTGCTGTGCTGGGATCTCGAGTACAACAAGGTGATCCGGAGCTATCACGGACACCTGTCGGGTGTCTTCTCATTGAAGGTGCATCCCACGCTGGATATCCTCGTCACTGGTGGTCGCGATGCCGTCGCCCGAGTAAGTCTCGGCCACATTTCCAATTGGAATGAACCGGACAAAGGTGTAATGGCTTGCTTTTATGTGGCTTGCTTTGGCAGGTCTGGGATATGCGAACGAAGAACCAGATCCACGTGCTTTCTGGGCACCAGGGGACTGTGTGGGCCATGGAGACGCAAGCAACGGATCCGCAGATTATTACGGGCTCCAGTGATAGTACAGTCAAGGTATAGTCACGTGTTTGGTGATCTGTATTGCATACGTCCTCCCACACATTTTATGTCGTATCCTGTTTGTGTGTATGCGTGCTCTTTACAGTTGTGGGATCTTGCGGCTGGCAAGGTGATGACAACGCTGACTAACCACAAGAAGGCAGTTCGTGCTGTCACGAAGTCTCCTACCGTAAGTTATTTAAGCTTGACTGGCACGTCTTCTGAATTGACAACGATTGTAACTTTCTATCTCGTTGCGGACAGGACCACACGTTCATGTCGGGCGCCGCAGACAACATGAAAAAGTGGGAGGCGAAGGAAGGTCGCTTCCTGCGCAACTTTTCGACGCACAACGCCATCATCAACTCGATCTCGATTAATCAGGACGGCGTGATGGCATCGTGTGGAGACAACGGGTCGATGCGCTTTTGGGACTACCAGACGGGCTATTGCTTCCAGAGCGACTCGACGAAGGCACAGCCCGGATCTCTGGACAGTGAGACAGGCATTTATGCATCCGCATTCGACAAGACAGGCCTGTATGTGCACGCATGCAGTTGATGGAAGTGTGATTATATGTATTTCAATTCTGACAATTTTGTGTGATGTGTGTCATTTGCAGCCGATTCATCACGTGCGAGGCGGACAAGACCATCAAGGTATGGCAGGAGGACAGTTCCGCGTCGGAGGAATCGCATCCGATTGACATGGCTGAATGGACCAAGGACTTTACAGCCCCGAAGCGATATTAAGACACTGGCTGAAGCTCCAAGCAACGCGGTGCATCATCTTCCAGCAACGCAAGAAACAAATAAAGTTGCCTGAACGGAGAGAAATATTTTTGCGTGCCTTATGTTGCCCATTTTTTCGGATCTGCTTTTCATTTTGTGAAAATCAATCGAAAGCCTCATGACCAGCGCGACACCCATGAATCCCAAAAAGATGAAGGTGAGCGAGCTGCGTGCGGCGCTGGAGTCGCGCGGGCTGAGCTCTAATGGGCTAAAGACGGAGCTGATTCAGCGCCTTGAGCTGGCGCTGGACGAAGAGGAATTCGGTAGCGAGGCGCAGGAGATGGAGGCACTCAAGGTACCGAGTCCCAAGAAAACTAAGAAGGCCGAGCCAAAGAAAAAAGAGGCGCTTGTTGCGGAGCCAGAGGCGCCCAAAAAGACGAAGCTCAAGACGCCGTCCCCTGTAAAGAAGACGGCGCCGCCAGCCACGGAGTCGGTTCCCGCTGACAAGGAGACCAAAAAGGAAGAGACTAAGGAGGCCGGCGCTGGATCGGAACCGAAGTTGGTCGAAACAGAGAGGGGATCGGAGACCATCAGCGTACTGGAGATGGACGCTTCTACCAAATCCGAGACGGAGGAGGAGAAGCGTGCGACCCGTGCGGCCAAGTTTGGCATTCCCATGAGTCTCGATGATAAAAAGGTGAGTGGAAATGGCTGACGGTTGGAGGCAATGAATACTAAATCCCAGTGTAATGCTTGCTTTAATGTGGCAAGGCTCAACGCGCGAAGCGATTCCACCTCCCGAGCGCAGGTGTGCCTTGTGTTCGTATTTGATGATGGGAAAAGAGTTAAGACATGGCTAATGTTGGGACTGGTTGACTCTTGCAGAGGTGGAAGAGGAGAGTGCCAAGAGGCTTAAACGAGCAGAACGATTTCACTTGGAGACGACAAATGCGGTATGCTGCTGATGCGTTGGATGTGCCCATTACTGCTGCGATGGTGGCACTGACCCTCGATAATTGACCTCTAAGTTTGAGAAGAAGAAGGACGCGCGGGCTGAGCGTTTCGGTCTAAATGCCGAAGAGAAGCGACGTCTGGACCGTGCCAAGCGCTTCGGCCTCGAGACCAGCGAAGTGGTGCGTGTGTAGCTAATCTCTCATTCTTGCAGCATCGCAGTCATGAGCGACACTGAGTCAGTGTGACTGACACAAGAATTCTGTTGCTCTTTTGTGTTAACGCCGCCTTGCAGTTCGAGGAGAAGCGACGAAAGCGCATGGAGCGCTTCACAGCCGCCACAAAGTGACGTGCCACCCCAATCCGACGGACGTGGCAAGCCTCGTAGAGCCTTACAGTCCCAACGCGCCACCTTCGGGAGAACTCCTTTAGAGGAGTTGACACCTAGTTCAAGTTTCCAGTTACGAGTCGTCAGTGCAGCCTTTGTGAGCTTAGTGGCTAGCAGCTATACCGGTAGCTTCCTCGTACATATGCAACAAACGATGCAGACAGAGAGAAAATCTCGGCGTGCAACCGCTGTGGTCGTCCACTTGCCATTTTCGTATCATCGTTCTTCACAGCATGGATATCGTTTATGTGCGACGCACAAACCGTCTCGGATAGGCTGAAATTGATACCGAAATATGATCCAGCCAATCACATTATGTCATGAAGTAGGCAGCGTTGGAGGGGGGATTCAGATTCTTCCGCTTTGTCACTTCAAGCCTCGCCGACCGGAGAGCAGCCCCGCCCCTCCTTCTCGTCTCAGTCGCTCGGCCCCCGCTCCAATCTTTGCAGCGCCTTACACCTCGTCTGAATCTCGAGCGTGCCGTCTTTCTAACGCGCTGTTTCTCGCTGCAATCTACGCCGCCGCGACCAAAAGCCATGTCAACACCCCCTCCGATTGCTCGCCAGGCTTCTAAATCCGATGCCGACGTCGAACTACTTCCCGTGGAGGTAGGGCAGGTCATCTGGGTTCCTGGTACCGAGCGTGTGTGGGACAAGGCCACCGTCATGGCCATCGGCGGCCTCAAGGTGACAGTGCGCACTCAAGCCGGCAAGATCCAGCAGGTGGATCGCGGTCTCGCTGTGCCGCAGAACCCTCGCGAGGCTGATGACATGACGTCGCTCTATTACATTCACGAGGCAGGTGTGCTGCACAACCTGGAGGAGCGTTGCAAGCTCGACGGCGGGGATGGCACTGGACAGAAGCCCTACACCTTCATGGCCAACGTGCTGATCGCCGTCAATCCGCTGCGGGATCTTCCTAATCCTCGTATCAGTGAGGTGGTTAACACTGCCGGCAGCTCGCCGCACCCGTACTCCATCGCCGAGATGGCTTACCAGCAAATGGTCTACAACTCAGGCACCGATCAACCCACCAACCAGTCGGTTGTCATCAGCGGTGAAAGTGGAGCCGGTAAGACCGAGTCGTCCAAGATCGTGCTGCGTCACTTGACCACGCGTGGTCTGTACGGCAAGAAAGCGCGCGGCGAGGAGATTGAGAATATGTCCAAGACCCGTCAGGAGCACGGTACATCGCTGGACCACCGTCTTATTGAACAAAACCCCATCCTGGAAGCATTCGGTAACGCCAAGACACTTCGCAACTACAACTCGTCACGTTTCGGCAAGTTCATGAAGCTGCAGTTCACGGCAGACGGCGATTTCAAGCTCGCTGGTGCTCTGGTGGAGACCTATCTGCTGGAAAAGTCGCGTCTTGTGTACCAGGTGGACGGAGAGCGCAATTTCCACATTTTTTACCAGCTGCTGGCCGGCGCATCTTCTGCTGCGCGTCAAGAGTTTGAGCTTTCGAAAGCTGAGGACTTTTGCTACTTGAACCAGAGTGGATGCTACATTGCCGAGGAAACGGACGACCACGCGTGCTTTGGAGCCGTGGTGCGTGGTCTGAGCTGTGTAGGGATCGATGAACAGGTTCAACACGTGATCTTTTCGGTGGTCGCAGGTCTGCTGCATCTTGGTAACATTGAGTTCGTCGAGGAAGATACGTCCGAAGGCGAAGCTGCTGTGATTGAAAAGGAGTCCGCCAAACGCGCTATTACCACGGTGGCTAGACTGCTGGGCGTCAAGGAGGACGATCTATGGAAAGTGATTATGACGCGCGACATTGTGACCCGCGAGGAGACGTACACGGTTCGTCGTAACGAGCAGGCTGCCGTGTACGCGCGTGACGCCATTGCTAAGGCACTGTACAGCCGCATGTTCGATTGGGTGATCAAGCAGGTGAACTCGTCTCTGGGTCACGATCCTAACCCGCTGCCGTACATCGGAGTGCTCGACATCTTCGGTTTTGAGTCGTTCCAGCGCAACGACTTCGAGCAGCTGCTGATCAATTACACGAACGAAGTGTTGCAGGCGACATTTAACAACCAAGTGTTCATTGCCGAGATGGAGTTGTACAAGCGTGAAGGTATTACAGTGGGTAGGATCAAGTGGCCCGATAACCGCGAGTGTGTGGATCTGATTGCCTCGAAGCCCAGTGGTATTTTGTCGTTACTGGACGCCGAGGCTATGAACCCGCAGCCTAGTGATGCCAAGTTCCTGCGCACACTGCACTCGAAACACTCAAAGCACCCGTACTTCCCGCGTCCACACCCGAAGGACATGGAGCATATGTTTATTGTGAGGCACTTTGCAGGCGCTGTGAGCTACACAATCGGCGCGTTTATCGACAAGAACAACGATTCGATTCCTGCGGATATGTCGAATCTCTTCTCTGGCTCGTCAAACAAGCTGGTGCCTGCGTTCTTTCAGCAAGAACCCGACAACAGCCGCCCGGGCAAGAGGAAATTGACGAAGAGTGTGGCGGCCAAGTTCTCGAATCAAATGCAGGAGCTGGTGGACACTCTCGATGCCACGCGCTGCAACTTCATTCGGTGTATTAAACCCAACGCTTTGATGCGAGTTGGTATGTTTGATCCTCGTTACGTCGTGGGCCAGTTGCGCTGCCAGGGTATTATGCAGACTGCTCAGGTGCTCAAGGTGGGCCTGCCTACGCGTGTGAGCTACAGCGAGTTGGTGGGCGCTTACAAGAAGTTCATGCCGTCTGATGCTCAGCGGCTGTTTGCGAACCAGAGTGACCCGACGCTTATTACCGCAATCCTGTGGGCTTTTCAGGTACCGATGGATGCATACAAACTTGGTATTACGAAGCTGTTCTTCAAGGCTGGTAAGATCGCTGTGCTGGATTCAATCTTGAAGATCAACTGGGCCACGGAAGGCCCGCATATTGTGTCACGTATGAAGTTGTGGCTGGCTCGTCGTCGTTGGCGCGTGGGCCTGGCGAAGGTCGTTGCCCAGAACAGCTTCTCGAAGCTGCTGCGTCGTATCCAGTTCCGCCGCAACTCAGTCGTGCGCATCCAGCGCTGGTGGCGTGCCTTGTCGGTGCGTCGTGACTTCAAGAAGAAGCGTTCCGCTGTAGTGGTGGTGCAAGCTCTGTTCCGTGGTATGACGGCACGACGTCTGTTTAAGTCGAAGAAGCAGGAAATGCTTGCTCTGGCGGCTGCACGTGCTGTGGAGGCCAAGCGCCAGGCAGAAGAGGCTAAACGTCGTGAAGAGGAAGCTCGCATGGCTGCTGATATTGCTCGTCGCGAGAGCATTGCTCGTGCTGCAGCCGAAGATGATCGTCTTCGTATGGAGGCGGAGGCTCGTGCTGCTGAGGAGGAAGCTATCAGACTGGCCAAGGAAGCCGCGACTGCAGTTGCAGAAGCTGAAGCTGCTGCTGCAGAGGCAATGGCTGCCGTGGAGCACGAACGCCAGGCCGAGCTACGTGCTATTGCGGAGGCGAAAGAGCTTGAAGAGCGAATGGAACGCGAGCGCGAGGAGGCAGAACGTCGCAAGGAACAGGCTCTGCTGGAGGCTGCTAGCGTCAGCGCCAGTCTGCTGAGTGGTCTTGCTCAGGTAAACAGTGTGCAGACGCCTGCTGGTCAGGTGCACGTAGTGGAGATCCCCGACGATGTTTCGCAGGAGAACCGCGAGCAGCTGCAGCAGTTGAACGACCTGCTCTTGAGTGGAGCTATCACTCAGTCCGAGTACGACGAGCTGGTGCCGTTCCTGCTCGAGAAGCCCGAGGAAGTCCCGTCCGGGGCTGCTCTCACAGCCGAACAGGAGGAATCGCTTAGTCGTCTGTATACAACGGGTGTCTACGGCATCCAGATTCGTTGCCCGGCTTGCGGTGCCACTAACAACACGGCCAATGGCAATCACTGCGACGAATGTGGCTCTCTGCTTACCACAAGCGATGAGTCGGCTGCTGCGGCCGCTGACCCTGGCTACTACGGATACCGCGGCCAGAATCGTCAGCAGAGAAGTTTGTCGACGCTGACGGCACCTCTGGGCACGTTCTCCACGGAGAACGGTCGCATCGTGATCCACGACGGATACTTTGAGGCGCAGATGCACCGAACGCAAGTTCTTCAGGACGACAACTACACGGAATACACGGTGTACGTGCTGCGTTGCCAGTGGCAGCCGAGGGACGGGAGCGAATCGACGACGTGGCTTGTGTCTCACCGCTTCAGCGTCTTTGAGAAGCTGCATAAGGATCTTAAGCGAAAGATTCCGACGGCAGTAGCTACGATTCCGATGTTCCCACGCAAGCACGTTCTTGGGGGCGTGTTCAAGGGCAAGACGGGCAACTCAAGCGCGATCGTCGAGGAGCGCAAGCAGGGTCTGGAGCGCTACGTAGCACAGGTGCTGGAGTTGTGCGCGCGTCTTCCTGAGAACCTTAATGTGCCAGAGCTGGATCGTTTTTTGAACGTGTCGCGCCAGGTTGAGCAGTACCGTCGTCAGCTAATGTCGGGCGGTGGTGACGAATCTGGTGCCGCAGCAGGATTTGGCCGTGCGCTGAACGTGAACGCTGGTGGCGCTGAAGGAATGGCTGCTCGCGAACAGGCTCGCTTGCCAACGGAGCTTCCCACGCCGCTGGATGAGGAGGAGCTGTCTCACACGGAACAGGCGGTGGCCCTGCTGAACGCATCGATTCGAAGTGCACGTGGCGACTTGCGCCGCGACCCTCAGGTGCAGCATCACCTCAAGGTGTGCGTACAGCTTCTGCCGCGTTTGCAGATCTCTGCAAACCTGGACAATCCGTTTGCTAACGTGGATTTGATCCCGCGGGCGATGCAGTGTCAGGAGGACCTGGAGACGACCATGGGGCTGTACAACGACTCGCTGCTAGCTGTCACGGAGACGTACGCGCTCTCCGCACAGGAGGGCGGCGGTGTGCAGGCACCACCTCCATACGTTCCTGGCCAGCAGAACTCGTACCAACCCAGCTACGGTGTTTAAACACTGCTGAGGTAAGGTCGCAAAAGTCGCGCAAGGCATGACGCAGGAAGCCGTTGGTAGCTTGCTTGAATAATGAAGTTCGCGGACAGACAGCACGTGGTAAATGTTTGCATGTCTTAGCTGCACGTTTCCAATACATTTCATTTCGAAATCGACCGCAACGCGTAAATTCGTAACAGTTTACATAAGCTTTCACTAGAAACAGAAAAAAAAACTGGTGTTGCGCTTGATGAGAACTCCAGGTTGTCAAAACCACGAGATACTTTACGCGGCACTTGCAGGCACGACGTTGCGCACTGGCATTTGCTGAGCTTGGACGTGTGGTTCAGACTGCTGAGCTCCCTGTCCTTGCTGTTGGGTCGGTGCTATCCCTGACGCAGCAAGTAGGGCATCATTGTACATCGCGACTGCTTGTTGAAGATCTTCTTGGCACTGCATGGCACGCGGGATGAGCTCTGTGTCGGCGAACGGGTTATCCACATCGGCAGAGCGTTTTAGTCCGGGTGTCAACTGCACGCACATGTCCAAATGATGCTGGACAGTGCCGTCTCCACGAACATCTCCTCGTGCATTGCGCACTGCGTTAGCAAGGAGCCTCACAGCACCTTCAGCTTGAGCAAGTTCCGTCGCATCCATAGGCGGGGACATCCATTGAGACGCTGTCATCGCTGCGCCTGAATAGGCTGGGAAGGACGACGTCGCTGATGTCGCGGCTGTAGATTGAGACGCGCCAACAGGAGGATTCGCACTCACACCAGAAGCAGCAGTGCTAGAACGTTGTGATCGGAAGATCTGCACCTGGTGTGAGATATCCAAAAACTCGTCCAGCTCTGGCACTGGCTGTGCGATGGATAGATGTGCGCACATCTCGAGCAACCGCGGCAAGTACGTCCCAAGTCCCTGTTTCCTCTTCTCCAGCCGGTCAGTCAGGTGATATTTGGCAGGGAATGGCGGCAGCGACGCCGACGTGGAGCGTGCCAGCCTCCTCTTGAGAGCCTTGTGCAACTTCTCGAAATGGCTGAAGCGTTGCGACACATACCATGTCGCTTCGTAGTGTTGGCTGCTTGTACCTTCGGTAGGGCGAGGCTGCCATGTACAGCACATTACGAACACCTGACAGGCATTTCCTTCCGCTGTCGCGATGATCTGAGTGTCCTGCATGGAGCACGAGAAGAAACCGTTGTGGATCACTACGCGTCCGTCTTCCACCGCGCTGAACGCACCACTAGGCGGCGTCATGGCCGTCACAATTGGCCAGCGCTGTCTCGAGCTCGAGCTCGCTCTCACAGCCGCTGCAGCCGATAGTTCGTCGGCGACGGTGAGGCGCGAGCTGCACACGTAGCAGCGAGGACCGCGCGACGTGTCATTGCTGGTGCCGCATGCTGGACAGCGTAGCTGTAGTCCTGTAGAGGCTGACGCGACGGGAGTGAGCATCTGATACTGTGGTGGGGCTTCGATCGGCTCTGGGGCTGGCGTGTTCACATTGTCAGCGAAGCGAACGGTGCGCTGGGGACTGGAAAGATGATCGGTTGATGAGGCGGGCCGTTGCGCTTGGGCTAGGGCCACTTCGAACGCGGCGTCTTGCGGTTGCATCGAGGTTGGGGAAGCCAGGAACGGCAGTAGTTCGTCATATTCCTGGCGGGACAGCGAACCGCTGACTAAAGAATCGTTGAGACTTCGGAGCTGCTCGCGGCGCTCGGAGGATGACGCGTCCGTCATACTGGAAGTGTAGAGAGGGCAAGAACTTCTTCGCTTGCCTGGCGTTGGACAGCCTGATTACAAAATTAAATATATCGCGTGGATACCGCTCACAAACTTGTTTATTCAAGAGGAAAAGGAAAGTTCAAGAGCGGTATCCACTTTTCGAAAAAGAAAAGAAAACTTTGACACCATACCGTAAAAATTCCGACCGGGGTTCCAACCGGTACCGGTATAAACGTCTGGAATAAAATCGAACTTAGCCGTGATTCAAAATAAAAAAAATCCTGGTCTCTCAGGCCACACATTCATTCTCCAAACACAATCGCCACCACGACGGCACAGAAGATGGCGCGCGGAACGCCGGCTGTACTGCGGCGACAAGCCCTCCTTCGACCCCCCGAGCGCACCGCACGGCTGACCAAGACACGCCGCCTGCCGCTCCCACTCTTGCCGCTTCCAAAGTCCGTTGCTGTGATGTAAAATGACCCGGTAGGGCGGGCAATATGCTGCCGAAGGTGTATAATCACAGAGCGGTGGTACTTGCGGTTTCCCTCGGGCTCTTTACTACTCGTAGATATGGTAAGTGTGTTCTAGATCATTACTTGAGCCGGTATGTGTCATCTAACTTGTTCCTGTAGCTATGCTGTAATATATTGTGAATGTTTTAGTGCGCGAAATGAAATCAAGTCTATCGGATGTTTACTATCGGTGCTGTGTAGTCCGTGGTTGTGGGTGATATTCTTTGTTTTTATTCGACAGACTAACAGCCAAGGCGCTTCAAGCGAATAAATTCTGGTAAGGCAGCAGTTGGAGTAGGGTCAACCACGTCACCGCGCTCAACACGGTCATAGAACTGGGCTAGATGCGCGTCGAGCTTCCCGGCCTTATGAAGCTTACGAAAAGCTTTCAGCACCGTACCGGATGCAGCTGCTGAGGACCCATTTTCTTTCAAGAATGCTAGCGCATTTTCTTGGGCCTTCTCACCCAGGGCCAGCACCTCGCTCTTGAACGCTGGAGACGCTGCATCTAGTGCGAATCGTAGTCGGTAAGAAAAGCATCATGTACCCTGCGGTGTGTCTAAACTCGTACAGCGTTGCCTTTTTTACAGATCGCGCGGCATATACACGAGACTCCGCCGTAAACCAAGCGAGCCACGTGGCTGCCAGCGACTGTGCTCCCTTCTTTTTCGATCGAGCTGCTTTGACTCCAGGCTGTGGTGGTTGTGGAGGTGTTGTTGCGGAAGATGGGTCGATCGTGGTTGCTGCTTGCGTTGTCGTGCTGGCTGTCGAGCGGAGCTGGCCTTCCACTGCTACCAAGCGTTGTTCCAGATGCTTCTTTTGTAGAATGAGGACGTCGATCTGCTTGGTTTGGTGCTGAACCAGATCCGACAGTGAATCAAGACGATCTTCTCTATCAGGTGGTGCTGGTTTTGGCTCAAGAGGTGGTATGAAGGCACGGCGGACGGTGATACTCCACGCTAGCAGCTCGGATTCAGTGACGGAGCGCGCAGTCATTGCCTCTCGCATCTTCGTGACGTATGGGCTGCGTTCACAGAGGCGCAGCATATCAGGGTAGTGCAAGATAAGTGTGGCAGTCAGGACTTCGGCTACGTCTTCGTCAAGGTTGAGGGCTTCGTCAGCAAAACCCAGAGTGCTCGAGAATTTCAGCGCCTGGAGTTTGAGTGCCCGACAAAAGACCGGTGTGTCAAGTGCTGCAAGTGAAGGCAAACGAGCCCCATCCTTAGGTTTCCACCCGCTCAAGACTCGAGATACCTGCTGATCCGCTTGTGGAGCTTCGCTTCTTTTTAAGAAACTGAGGAAACATTCGTTTGCATGGCGAGCTCTGCATCACCAGCGCTACGGCTATAGCGTTGAGAGGGCATGTTAGAAAATTGCTGGGATCTTTGAACAATGACATGCCCTGAAGTACTGCTGTTTTAACGCGCTTAAAGCGAAGGAATAAAACACCGCCTACATTATTAAAATCTAGTTAGAGCGTGAAATTGTTTGTCAGACCAATTAATGCGTACCCGGGAGGATATACAGTTGCTGTTTCTCGACTTGTTCTGCGTCCGAACTACGACCGTACAAGTACCACATCATAACAACGAGAGCGGAATCAAGATATTCGCTCTCATTTGATGCCGTTGTGTATAGTATTCGCACAATTGCTTCTAAATCTTGCTTTGAGCACGGGGGAGCAACTCGTTTGTTATCACTTTCTTCTCGATTTGTGCAGTACCTTCCGAGTCCCGATAAAATCTTTTGTAGCTGGGGCTCTTCTAACCCGCTCTGTAGCGGGTATTTATCTGCCAACCAATTTTTTACGTTTCCATAATATGCAAGACATGTATTCGTAGCTAAAATTTTGTCCTGAGACCTTGCTAGTGAATATGCATACTTGTCTAGCATAATACGAAGCAATTTACCCGTCTTATCAGCATCGATGAGCTTGTGCGCGGCTGAAAGTGTCATGCTTTCGGCACCCAGAAACGTGATGAAGGAGTTCAACGCTGTCGTTCGCGCCTTCTTGCTGTTACCAAGGGCCAAGGATGCTATCGACATGACTGATACGCCGCAATTTTATTCTGTACAGAAACCCCTACTGCTGGTTACCGTCAGAAACTTCAGAATATTCTTAGAATATGACTTTATATGAAAGTCAGTATATCCGATAGACAATATTATTCAAAGAATCCAACTAAATATGGTCAGAATGGTTGGAAACCTGCTCCTATCCAGATGATTCTTCCATTGGTGTAAAATAAGTGTTTTGTTAACGAGGATTGGTTGATATACGGAAAATGGTGTTAGTATGGGGCTGCATAGACAGGTAACGGTTGGCATGTAGTGAACATTATACCATATCAAAAAAATCTCCGACCTCCGACGAGCTCCGACGGTAGAGAAGGGACGAGATCGGACTTAATAGAAGTTAAAAGGTAATTGTGGGTAGGGTAATTAGAGACCATGTGCAGATTTGTCTATGCTTGAAATTGCCGAAACGGCACGTTTATAGGCGCACTAACAGGCCCTGAAACAGTCTGTGGGCAGAGAAATAGGCAAAAAATAAAAACGCATGATTTTAAGCAACAGAGCCTTGTGCACTACAGGCTGCAATTTGAGAAATGAGGGCGCCACCCGAAATCGGGGTCCACTAAGAAGAGCATTAGTAAAAATTCCGTTTTTACGCCTGCGCGTATTTACCCCGACACGTGGCCTCCTACCAAGTTGGTGGTCAAGAGTGGCCGACAAACAGATTTTTCTGTCATTCACGATTTTTCAGCCGTCAGACGCAAGCCATTAGTGAGTGTGTTCTTGCGTGTTTGTGTGTGTGTGCGCGTGTGCGTGCGAGTGTGTGTGTTGTGTAGCCGTCTTGCGTTAAACTCTGTGTGCTATGATGATGGAGGTTAACATTGCTGTTCCGTTAGGAGGTTAAGCTTTGTGTTCTATTGTCAGCGGTTAACATTGTTGTTCAAGTCTCTCTACTCATAACACTTTCTAAACTTGTAATACGAAGCCGTTTGCGCCTCACTAGATCTTGTTTATTTTATCCTTCCGTGATGTTGAGCGTATCGTCTTCCACAGCCTCGTCTTCGAAGAACTTCTTGCGCACAAGCAAGCGGCGCTCCTTCTCGAACGCGGCGACGATGTTTTGGCTCAAGTGCTCGCGTGGCTCCCAAGTTGACTCCCACTCGACGAGGTAGTACGTTTTGCCCTTAACGCGTTTCCAGTTCAAGATCTTGCGGACGTAGTGGATCTTCTCGCTTTCGCTATCTTCGTCACCGTCCACCTCGTCATTGTCGACAGCAGAAGGAGCCAGCCACTCGCGGATGTCGTCAAGCTTTGCCCGCTGGATCTTGCGCTCAGCCAACGAGGTGAAGACGACTTGAATTGCTCCAGGAAGCAGGCTGGTAGAGGCGACGGTAATGTTCATGGTAAGTCGAAGGTGACGAATAGCTTCATCACTAACCGGATCTTGCAAGACTTGGCCACAGCGATGCACAGGGTCTTGAACTCTTTCGCGGAACTAATGCCGTTCTTGGTTGGCTTCTTGGTAGGCATCCGAGGCTGAGGTGTCAAGGTTTGAGAACAAAAGGAAGAGTGAACAGCAGAGAGTGCAGCGCGCAAAACTTCGCAAAACATATGACTAGATATGACCAGAAAGGTGGGTGCTTTTATTAATTACTTCATGGTCACTAACCCGATCGTGTTGCAAGTATGCGGAGGAGCAGGATCCACGATGAGACCTTGAGCTTGACGTTGTAGGTACTTACCAATGTGCTCATTCAGTTGGCCAGCTTTGTGTAGTTTCCTCATGGACTTCAGGACGTTTTGCGCTCCGCGGGCAGTGACGTTGTGCTGCTGTAAGAACGCCAGCATTGCCTTCTCAGCAAGGCTTCCTGTTTCAAGAACATCGTCGCGGTAGCGAGCAGAGTGCTTGTCCAAGACAAAGCCATCGTAAAGGAACAGCTTCAAGAACGCAACGACCTGCTTGCCTGTTGAGCGTGTGTGCTTGGTTTCAGCATCCGTCAAGCTCCACATGCGCGGTTCTTGAGTGTACCACGCGAACCAGACATCCTTCAAGCTTAGAGCTAAAGAGGTACGGCGTCGCTTTCCTGGAGACTTCTTCTCGCTTGAGTCCTCACTTTCTTCTGGTTTTGTAGGTGCGCGTGTGTGTTTGTTTCCGATTATGTCTTCCATTACAGTCAACCGAGCGTCAAGCTTCTTGTTGACCTGGATTAACTGCTCAATCAATGCTGTTTGCTGAAAATATACTGGATGCTGGGTGATGTCGTTTGGGTTGTCTTGTGCAAATTTGCTTTTAGAGTCCTCCGCAGTACTTGGGTTGCTACTGAGGTACGCCGACCAAGCAAGCAGATGATTTACAGTGAAGCCTTTATCCTCGGCACAAGCTTCCAAGCGCTGAATTACAAGACCGGACGTCGATAGAGTCTTCAGTGACGGATAGTGCCGCAGAAGGTAAGCCATGAGAGTGTCGTGTACAGCCGCGTTAACGTTGTACTGCTCGGATTCCATTCCGGACGAAGACGTGAATAAAGCTGAAGAGAC